ACACAGATATCCAGGTCCCTGTAAAATAATATACCAACCCCCCCTAGTGCCCCGAGCAGGGGACCAAAATTGGGGGTCGTTTCACCAGTTGATCCCCGTGGTTCTGTCCTCATCAAGCTTGGTTTCTTGAAAACACATTATGTGTGTCTTTTTTTGTGCATCCAGGTTTTTATGCATTCTCTTTTCCGTCGAATCTCAGTGTCGCACAGTCCTCACACATTCCAAGTTATGATATTAATTATGTGCCTTGAGGATACTTACCCCTACAACACCGTTATTCTTTTGGATCCGGTACACAGTCGAAATGAAGGCAGAGGCCTTGGGGTCCTTACTTGCGCTTCCCCATGGGAGGCGCAAGTAATTAGTAAATGAGGACCCCAATAACATTTCTCTCTGCGAAGCAGTCTGAAGCCATTCTGCCAGAACGGAAGCACAAATGTCATTCGTTATTTTAATCTTGCTCAGATTATCATTAATCACAGATGAGAGATGTACCAACGGAGTCCACGTGCACCCTGCCTGCTCCATGACTTGGATTGGAGTATCATCAACTTTGCCTTCCATACAGGCCATGTGGAGTCTAGCATGAGGTTCATTGTTCCTCTCCACGGTGTAGATCCCTATACTGATGTTTGGAATCATTCGAATTGATAGTCCTTCGTGTACCAATTTTTAACCTTTATGGTAACAAAGGACTCCGCCAGGCAATCATTCCTTTCAAGTGGAGTGGAAGGCATGGATATTGCGCCACTTCCATCTGTCCTTGTTAAAAAAAACAATCTGATTATCTCTCGCCAAGAAGATAATTGGGACAAAAATTGGAGGGATCGTTATGGGGGACCGCGCTTGCACGCTCCACGTTTCATAGTAGCGTTACGTTCGCGCTCAGCTGTGACGGCCTGAAGAGCATGTGGAACACAAAGGCGACATCGTAGTAAAGAACCATTATGCATACACGCTACGTTGCCCAACATTCGAATGCCCGTCTTTTAAGCTATGACCGCTGTCACTCCTCCGCACCAATGTTTCGCCCCAGTCTCCAGTCTAGCCGCCAGGATGCCTCAGACGCGTATGCGTCACAACGGAGGGTTCGAAATTCGAAATTTGAACCGGGATATTGGTGCCCTTTTTTTTCCTTCATCCCGGTAGGCCTCCCTACCGTCAAAAAAAAAAAAAAAAAAAAAAAAAAGGCCTCCCTGCCGCCGCCACTGGACCACGCCTGAGAACGCACGGACATCCTAGCACGATGACGGACATCCACCATGCGGCCTTGTGTATGCCTATGAAATTGGCCACCGGATAAGGGTTTTCCTTAGGACCCATCAAATTAGGACGCGGTGTAACAATGTCGTAAAAAATCCGATATTTTTTTCCAAGACTTCATCCTAATTCTTGAGGATTTTCCAAGGAGGGTCTAATGAGGCCCTTAGATACTTTCTTGCGAGTTTGGTGTGAGCACAACTTCTTGCATGGCCTTCCCCGACATGGTCTTTTGCTTTTCTTTCTGTTTTTCGAATGGGCTCACAAGGCTCAACTGTCGAGCCTCGTCTGAAAAGTTTGGAAAAAATGGGAGAACTGTCAGTTTTCCCATTTTTCCCAAGAATGAGCGAGGTAGTAGTGGTTTAGTGCAATTGAGTCTTCTTTAAAAAAAAAAAAAAACTCCGTTCTACACTGATATCTCAAGGCCGTTTCCCTTTTGAAAAGAAAATAGGAACAGGGAAAATTTGCGAAATAGCATTGAAAGTTGGCCTACATACTGGAATTACTTGATTTTCCTTTTGACTCTGATGCTATAATCAATAATTCTTAAATCTACGATCACAATAGTATGTCACCGTTACCTTGCTATGGCTCTTGAGGAGTTCCAGTCTTGTCGTTAGTTGCGGGCCAGGAGTTTTGAGGATGCGCCGGTTGGGGGTACGGTTTCTGGTTGGTGATAAGACGTCCTGCTGGCGAAGAGGGCTAGCTAGTGGGATTGAATTAGGGTATAGCCGCAGCTAGGATGGTGGCCCAACTGCTATTAGTCTTGTCGGAGAGAGGTTAGCGGTTAGGGGGAGGGTCGGTGCTGTTTTTTTTTGGGTGAGGGCATTTACCTGACTTTCTCCTGTTCTTGTGAACTATGGGTGGAGGAGGTCGGCTCGTCATGAGAGGAGGAAGAGTTGAGGAAAAGTGTGTGGGCGAGTTTGCTTTTCTTATCCTCTGAACTATGCGGTGAAAGAGGTCGGCTCGTCGGGGGATGAAGAAGAGTAGGGGGTTGGAGGGAAGAGGGCGACCGTTTTTTTTCTGATAGTCTCTGGCCCGTAGAAACCGTCTACTGTTTTTTTATCGTCCGAACTATGTGGTGGAGGAGGTCGGCTCGTTGGAAGGATAATGAAGAGTGGGGGGCTCTAAGGAATAGAAGGATGATACTCAGAGATCTTCTTATTCCTCTTCAAAATGGGCTGACGTCTGTAGAGTTGTTTAGTCTTGGCGTAATAACTTTCGTCTTGCTAACTATGTGGTGGAGGAGGTCGGCTCGTCGTGAGATGAAGAAGACCACTGTACGCTGTCGACCGTTGTGGTACCCTGTGAGCTGATTCTTTTGCTGTTCTTTAGCTGGCGAACTATGTGGTGGAGGAGGTTCGTCGCCAGAAGAAGATGGCAGGAGAGAGAGTTTAACAAGGATACGCGGTGGCAGGGTAAGGAGTATAGGTGACGAAAAACAATTATGCGTGACGTTGGCTGGATGGAAAGAGAAGGAGATGGTAGCAGTATATTCAAGTTTCTAGGGCGGGCGGGTGACTCAATCACACTAGGGCATTTTGGTTTCGGGCTGAAAGCTTCTACGCATTCAAGACTCTAAGTAGTTGGTACTCTAGTTTTTTTCTAAATTCTCTTGACTCTGGGGACTTCTAGTAACTCGTCTTAGGTGGCTTCGATGTTGTTATACTCAGTGATCTACGGCTGTTCGATGCCAGAACGACGCTGGCCAGTGCTGGGGTGTTGCCCTGTAACCCGCTGATGCAGGAGCGTGAGGCCTGGTAGAGAGATCTGGGGATGCTTTGGGGTGGGCATTCCACGGGATAACCAAGGGTTGCTCCTGGGACGACGCTGGCTGGAGCTGGGATGAGTTGTGTTGCCCTGTAACCCAGGAGGATATGGGGGTGTGCGGCCTGGAAGAGCTCGGCAGGGAGTAAGACAGTGTTGGAAAACTTTGGAAGGGTTTGTTAGGGGTCTCGAGGGTTTTGGAGCATTTGTAGGACCTTCGGGGTCTGTTCCCATGTTTCCCGAATTACTGCAAGTGTGCTCAGACGGTTTTTCAGCCGAAACCAGGTAAGGGCCCCGGTATCTTAGAAAAAGAGATCGAGGTGAGTGGGAGAAGGAGATGGTGGGATATCACGCGTCCTACTAGTGAGGGGGCTAGCTGGTAGGATGGGAATAGGGTACAGCAGCAGCGGAGATGGTGGCTCTGCTGCAGTAAGTCTTGCCGGAGTGGGGTACAGGGGATTGATAGGGGTTGTTTGAGTTTTTCTGAATTGTGAATATGTTTTTGTTTCTCAAAAAAAGAGGTGGGTGGGAGAAGTAGATGGTGGGATATCAAGCGTCCTACTAGTGAGGGGGCTAGCTTGTAGGCTGGAAACAGGGGACAGCAGCAGCGGAGATGGTGGCTCTGCTGGAGTAAGTCTTGCCAGAGTGAGGTAAAGAGGATTGATGGGGGGCTTCTGAGCCGTTTTCTGAATTTTGCCTATTTCTGAATTTCGTCGCAGTAATTTTTTTAAGTAGCTCATTTTTTCCTTAGCCAAAGCCGGGTAATGGCCCTGGTATCTGAAACATTCAATTCTATGTAAATTTCTATATGGGACGCTGGGCCCGGTTCCCAGCACCTGTTGTTGTTCCCAGCACGTGCTGCTTGTTCCCCCAAAAAAAAAAAAAAAAAAAAAAAAAAAGTTGGCCTATATACTGAAAGACCCCTAGAAGATGTGAGCAGAGGGGAATACCAATCTGAAATTTGAACAGCTCGTCCAGTACTCTTGGTATTCCTTGCAATCTACCCCTGTCAGGGTGGTGTGCGAGTTTGGGTTCTGCCCCTGACGGCAAGGATAGAGGGCATCCTCCTGGGTGCAAACTGCGCCGGTTGTTCATCCGATTTGATCTGGATTTGAACTTCGGTCTGCATGTCAACACCTCACCCATGAGCTAAGGCCGTTGGTGCCGGGGTGGTGTCTTTTTTTTTTTTTTTTTTTTTGGTTGGTCGCGCGGTTCCGCGGTTCGTCGGAACGTGTTCAGTTGATGGCGTCACAGAAGCAGCTGGTGCAAGCCTCACCTGATAAGCACAGTGGGTTGTCTTCTAGCCTAGGGATCCCCAGTCGAGAGCCCAGCCTCGGCCGGGGTCGGCAATCAGGAGCTACTGAAGGGTTTCTTTTTTTTTTTTTTTTTTTTGTTATGAAGGTTCGGCAAAGCGTGCCAACCCTACTGAAGGGTTCAGAGATTTTGCCAGCGATATGTCTTGATGTCCATACAGTGGAGGGCCTAAACCATGCATGGCATATATAGCCAACGGGCCCTTTTAACTGCAGCGGTTTAGGGCCTCGCCACACCACTCTCGAAGTGAGAAAAAGACAAAAATGTGGCGGGGACCTCTGGTCATGTTCTAGGGGTAAGTTCATTCTGATTTTGCACATTTCGAGAGTGGTGTGGCGATGCCATGAGTCTCCCTTTCCAGTATTTCTCAACGTGGCCACAGCGCGGCGGTGAGATGTTTAGATCGGATGGTAGGAACTTGTGCGCACTCGAAACCAAGTCTAAGGGCCTCGCCACACCACTCTCGAAATGTGAAAAAGACAAAAAAATTGGCCGGCGCATCTGGCCATGTTCTAGCGGGAAGTTCATTCCCATTTCGCAAAGTGTGGCGATGCCCTAAATCCCCACTAGGGTAGTGGGACTAAGCCCTGGGATCCACGTTCCCCGTCAGTGCCAGTGGAAAACACTATCCATGCGATGCGAAGCGAAGCGAAGCGCAGCTAAGTCGTCATCCGTGTCCGAATCTGGGTTGAAGCTGGTTCAGCGACAGCCACGCTGGCCCCGCGGTAACCTCTCCTTCGTCTGTCATCTGCCCACGCCGCGCTGAAGCTGGTTCAGCGACAGCCACGCTGGCCACGTGCTGTGTTGCCGATCGCTGTCTATGGACTCAAGCGTCGTGTCACTCGCTGGAAAGCGCTCCGTGCACTTTTGAACTCGGCCTCCTGTCTCCCACGCACTTCGCCCGCTTGCCTAAGCACAGAGCATTGCACAACACACACACACACACAAACACACACACACACACACACACACCCAGAGAGAGAGAGAGAGAGAGAGAGAGAGAGAGAGAGAGAGAGAGAGAGAGAGAGAGAGAGAGAGAGAGATTCGTCGACGGGACAACAGAAGTGGTTGACGAAAGGGGGAGGGGATTCTTCTTGTGCGTCGGCCATTCCGCAGACTCGCCGTGGCCGGTGACGGGTTTGTGGACTTGCGGAGCACAGCAGCAGAAGAGGCAACATGCAAAGGTCGGTGAGTGCTTCGGCGGTCGATTAGGCGATGATGCTGTGTGGGATTGCGCGGTCCGGTCTGTTCTGTTTACCTCTTTCGGGTGTGATGTGCATTGTATTCTGACTTGTCCTGAAGTTGTGACTACCGAGAACAGTGTTGGGTAAGAACATTGAAGACCACCTCACACGTCATGCTTTCCTACGCGCACTACGTCAACATTACCTCAATGGCGCCACGCTCTGCTAATTGTGGAGGTGACACTTTTGTGTGCTCCCTTCACAAAATGAAGGCGAGCAAATAAAACGAATTCAAAGGTGTCTACATTGCGCAATCGATTTTGTGTTGAAGCGGAAAACACACTAAGGTTCAACGAGACGTAGGAAGGAGCGTGAAAGAGGAGGAAAAAGAAGAAAACAAGGTAGCGCATTGATTCGTCGAATGACTGAGTGAATAGAAGGATGGGAGGAAGGATGAACCAGCGCACACAGGCACGCACACACACACACACACACACACACACAC